CACATTGCAAACCTGACTGATAGAATTCAGTGTGCACCAAACAAAGGACTAGACACGTCACACTAGTTACTAGTTACTTTGAATCAGTGAATTATTATCTGAATGATTGTTAAGAGCACGTAAATGCATTTCCTGCTATTGTCAAACAGTTTGATGTGTTGAAGAAGTCTATGTAAAACATTGGATACATAATCCTGAAACCTTTCTCATTCCTCATTAGATAGTTCATACAAAGCACGAGTTCAAGTTCTGGTAGATGTGAATGGATGGTGTTGATGTGATTTTGATGTATGACATTTTAATGTTTTCAAATTAGGACAAATGTAATTCTTCAAATAGTGTTCTGGATACTAATCCTTATCTATGCATCGCTTCAGAAAATTAAGCTCCATATTGACTTCAGAAAGCTGGACTGAGGAATTTGTCCAATTCCTTTACTTGACACAGGATTCTTACAGTTGTTTAATGAACGGAATATTACCAATATTGAATCATAAGAAAAGGAAGTTAACAGTGAAGAAAATTTTCTTTTCGAGGATTCATTCCTTCGAAAATATTAAAACGTCGTACATTAAATCATATCGACACCATTCGCTTACGTCTATCTGAACTTGGACGCAACATATCACTATCTGACGAGGGATGAGAATGGTTTCAGGATTATATATATCAAGTGTCTTACAAAGCATTGCAAGGATACTAGTTCCCGACCAAGAAACAGTTTATGTGACCGAGCCATCACCTTCCTCATTTGAGTATTGTTAGGTAATATAGAATTAAATTTGGAAAAGAACCGCGATTATTTAGTCCCTGAAATCTTTGAATGTCTGTTTTGGCTGAGTAAGAACATGCAGACTGCCTACCTAAGGTCCTCTAGATTCTAAGAACCAGTAACTGCTAGAGACTGTTAGTGATATAGCTCATAGTCATTCTGAATAATGTAGATTCCTGTAATCGTTTCGATCTCCCAAACTCATTAAAATCTCATTATCCCTGCATTCAGTGATTCTTCCTCTCGTATATTTCCGTCTATTATAATTTCATTGGATTTCATAATTTGTTTGCATTCATGTGTGATTCTTTTTGAAGCATTTCGTCAACTAGAACTGCTCCACTTTTGTGAAATGTTTGGCGTTGAAAATTCAGTACAATTCAATTTACCTGTCAGTGTAGTATCAGTAGAAGTGTAACAGAGGTGATTCATTTCTGTATAGCCAAAGTCATAAACCCTAATCTTATTATTTATTTATTGTTCCTTTGGGTTCTTAGTGGAACATACGGCTTCAACTGCACGTCTCCACTTGCTTCTGTCTTCTGCTGTACTTTTCACCTGCATTCATGTTAGTCCATACTGTTTCAACTCCTCTTCACACGATCTCCTCCATGTCACCCTTGAAAGTCTCACTCGCCGCTTCCCTTTCAAATTCCAATCGAGCGTTGGCCTGACGCGCGATGTCACCCAGCGACCTCCCCAGCGAGTGTCCAATCCATCTCCACTTTCTCCTGCATATTTGTTGAGCGATTGTTTCTTGTTTTGTTTGTTCCCATAGTTTCTTGTTGGTGATTCTTTCCGGCCATCTGATCTTCAGTATAGAGCGAAGACAATTGTTGTTGATAAAGGTCTGCAACAGGCTGTTGGAAATATTCTTTGTGACCCGCGAAGTTTCTGATCCGTATAGAAGAAGTGACTGACTTGACGTTTGTATTGAAAATCCGAATTTTGTTGTTGATACAGGCTGAGTGACGAAGATTTCCAGATTGGTTTCAGGTTGATGAATGTGTTTCTCGCCTTCCCGATTCTCGATTTGACATCCTCGTCCGTTCAAACCCCAATCTTAAATACCACATTTACCTCTGTGATGAACTCTAGATGCTTAGTTGGCAGATTCATGCAGTGGGAGTGTTCTTCACAAAAGTGAGATGACGAAAGTGAACAACTGGCACTAATTACTGGACTAGTGAACAGTATGCTGGTCTACTTACTTATGGGAATTGAAAAGTCTGTCTGTCTATTTTCGACATAGAACTTTACACCGATGTGCGGTAGTTCAAGTCGCCACATTCCATGTAGCACACAAAAGGAAGAGAATAAAGTAGAAGAAATGCATAATATAACAGTAAGCAGAGTGTGAGACAAAGGAATAGTAATCGAAGAACAATATAGTTTCATTAGAAATCATAAGTTACAGGGATAATTGAAAAGTCCTGATTTCAAACCTAAGGTGTGTACATGGACTCCAGAATCCCAACAGATAGAATGGTGTATAAACCTGTTTTGGCCACCGGGAACTATAAGAACGTAGCTCCCAACGCTGCTCGACTGCCTCGTGGATCAGACCTTAAGTCGAGGGCTCGGAGGTGGCCCCTTAGGTGAACCATTTACTTCGATCTTGACGTCTGGGCAGCCCTCGCTCTCATAAACTATGAGGCAATTTTGTGTGGCGCATTTCTTTGATACCCATAATGTGATGTACCAAAGTTGTGTTTTATAATATGATAGTAATAAATAAATCAATTACGCTTCGCACTCAGGTTTATCCTTGTCCTTTAACCATAATAATCCTTTTTACATATTATTATCGATCTGTTATCTCAAAAATGTTTCCCAGTTTCGCCTCGGGATTTTGAATTTTCGTAAATTTACAAGTGGTTTTTCATAGATGCATATGTAGCGGAAATATTCATTTAGACTTTTAGAAAAAAAGCGAAGAATTGACAGAGAATATCCTTTTCGATAATTTTCTCTTCTGGCCCTATAATTATATTCATCATATAATTATATACACAGAATATTCTGGAATAATCGCCATTATCAATATTGGTGATTTTTAAAAAAATAATATCGATTTGTCAAGTAAGATCAGTGGAATTACAGTTCACGAAAGATGCATAAATTATAATAAGCATAAAATTATAATGGCAAATAGAATATCAAATAATAAAATTAAGGAAATTTCCACAGCAAATTGAGGATCACTAAAGCCTTAATGGCCAGCGAGGTAAGGATAGTGTCTGAAACAACTTCTTATGGATACAAAAGTCGGGCTTCTTAATGTAGATCCTAGGGGCCAGCGTCAGCGATAATGTAGTAGACGAACCTTTAAGGTGAAGTTAGGATTAGCTTGGTATGCAGTGGATGACTTTGAAAGTTGCCTTGTTTACATCAACCTTGTGTTCTATATCCACAAGATGAGATAGAATGCACCTTTGGCCTCTACTTAACCATACCGGTTGATGTTCAGAAATCGGATGATAAACATGCCTAATTGTACAGCCTAGATATATATACGTACACTTCACTCAATAACTAGGAAGTATCGCTCGGATGAATGTCTTGATGAGGAACTTAATAATATTAAACGGTTGCTAAGTGAAAATGGTTATCCAGAAAAGTTTATTGATAAGAATATGAATCTAAAATCAAAGCAGCCCAAGTTACCAACAGTTCCAAAAAAGGCCTTATTCTTACAAATTCAGTTCCTTGGGGACAACATCAGCGAGATACTAACACAGCTGTGCCTTAGAAATGCGGCAAAGCGAAGAACATTCCCTGCTTCCGAATTACGCTGTGTCTTCAAAACCACCCACTCCTCTTTTGCGTTCGGGAGTAGTAGAAGACAAACTGCCTAATTTCACCTCTTTCATGTGTATCTACGAATTTGACTGCTCCTGTGAAGCCAGTTACATAGGCCATACAATTAGGTGTGTTTCTCGTTGAATTTCCGAACATCACCCTGCGTCGTTGGTTAAGTAAAGGACAAACAAAATCTATTCACAGAGCTATTCTATCTCATCTTGTGGATACAGAACACAAGATTGACGTTAACCATGCTTTCAGGGTCATTTACCGCATATCTACGAATTTCAATTTCGCCTTAAGAGTTCGACTACTAAATATTGCTGAGGCTGGCTGTTGGGATCCATATTAAGAAGCCTAATTTGTGCATCCAAAAGAAGTTAGTTCAGACATTGTCCTTACTTTGGCCATCTAGGTTTGAATGATCCTGAATTTTTGTGGAATTTTCCTAATTTTAGTTGATATTCTATTTGCTACTATATCTTTATTATTATTATGATAATTTAAGCATCTTTCTTGAACTGTGGTAATTCCATTGTGATCTTACTTTACAAATCGGTATTATTTAAAAAGCACACTAATATTGTTATTGGCTACTAATCTAGAATATTCTATGTATATAAACATACAGATATAATTGTAGAGCCAGAAGAGGAAATTATCGAAAAGGATATTCTTAGCTCAATCATTTTGTGTTTTATCAACAATTGGTAGATACACATGGAAGAGGTGAGATTAAGCAGTTTGTCTTTTACTACTCCCGAACGCAAAAGAGGAGTGGGTGGTTTTGAAGACACAGCGTAATTCGGCAGCAGGGAATGTTCTTCGCTTTATCGCATTTCTAAGGCGCTGTGTTATTATCTCGCTGATATTGTCCCCAAGGAACTGCATTTGTAAGAATAAGGCCTTTTTCGGAACTGTCGGTACCTTGGGCTGCTTTGATTTTAGATTCATATTCTTATCAATAAACTTTTCTGGATAAGCATTTTGAGTTAGCAACCGTTTAATATTATTAAGTTCCTCATCAAGACATTCATCCGAGCAAATTGCTCTTGGTCTGTGAACCAAGCACTTTATCAATCAGATTGCGTTTGTATTTCAAGGGTACGAAGCTGAGAAAATGAGTATACTGACAGTCAGTTGATGTAGGCTTTTCATGTACACTTCTTCTTATTGTGCCGTCCTCTTTTCTGGTCATAAGGACGTCTAGAAATGAAATACTAGAGTCTTTTTCTTTCTCAATATGTATATAGGCATATATATGTATAATTGTAGAGCCAGAACAGGAGGAATTTATCGAAAAGGATATTCTTAGCTCAATCACTTTGTGTTTTATAAACAATTTTCGTATGATTTCAGTCATCGTTAGATTTAATTTCATTTAATGTTTTCTTCTCTCTCTTCATTTGAATTTTAATTTTAGTCAATCAGTCTGTACATTCTGAATCAAATCAGAACAACGATGATGTCGTAGTATATGATGAAGTTACTAGTACACCTTATTATAAACATATCCCTTCTAGTTATACTGCTCCACCATTACTCAGGAATAAACGCCTAAGTGATACGCATTCACCGCCTCATATTATACCAGATTTACCAAGTTTACTACAATTTTTTGATCGTACTGGCCTTCAAGTGTTGTGTCGTGCTGCAGGTAATCCAACACCACAAATTCGATGGTTTTCATTGCCAACAAATGGTCGACCGACAACTGCTAGTCTGGATAGTTTATTTTCGAGTAATTCAGGAGGCGGTGGTGGTGGTTCATCGTCACCGTCTTCATCGTCGTCGTCTTCAACATCTTCAGGATATGCAGATCATAGAACAATTGATTTTCAAAATGATGAAAATTATATCAGTGAACTTGGATTTAGTAGTCGTGTCAGGTATGTGTATGTGGTCTATATACGCTTATATATTTCGTGCTATGTCTTTTGTATAACTGATAAAACTACAACAGGGCATATAAATAACGTTTTTGATGTTCCATATTAGTTTGTTTATTAGAGAATATCACACAGACTGTGAAACAGTATTATTATTAGTATTTACTGGATGACAAACTTTCGAGCACAATTTATTACTGTTCATAATCATATCATCAATTATAATCAGATAACTTCGAAACTCTTGAGTTTTATAGTTTTCTTTATTCTTTCCTATTTGTCGTCGTAGGTAGGGGTAGTAGAATTTTCCAGTAGTATTTCCATGCAAGGAAGGAACCTTGGAAACCTTAAAGAGAATTCTTAACAATGCAGGAGGATTTCATCATGAACTGACATGAACTGGGAGTACTGGACAGCCAGCTGTCTCGTCACTCTAGTTTGGGACTCTTTAGCAGTACGCAACCACTGCTAGAGTTCGAAACCAGGAACTTCTGATTACAAGACTAGCGAGCTCGTAGACCATTAAGCCACTGAGACCCACCAATCCAATGGCCAGCCAGTCCATGAATTCTAACTTCTGCCAATTCATGACACATGGCGCGACCACTTCGCAATGTCTTCTTCGGTGAGTTACTGCCTCACCTTCAATCTGCTGCACCATATTGGTGGGTGCGTATTGTTGAAGAGTCCCAAACTAGACTGACGAGACAGCTGGGGCTGTCCAGTACTCGCTGCACGTTTTCCAATGGTTCTCTAACTGATGTCAACTCATGATGAAATCCCCCAACCAATCAAACAACAACAAAAAAATCCCTACAAAACCAATACTTCAAAACAATTTAGTTTATCTAATACCCTGCCTGCAATGATTGTCAGGTTAAATGCATAAGACAGAGTAGTAGAACAGGTACAGTCAGACTGGCGGAGCACAAATACCTAGCTAAATCTAGATTAGCTGGAGAATAGTCCAGCTGTATCACTCACGACATGCAATTACACACAACCATACAATATAGGATGAGATAAGATGACAGTTTTATCAAAATCTAATATAACAGGGTGGAGGGAGATATTGATAACGGAAGATTTGTTTACCGAATCAGCTGAAGAGAGTACGTGTAATAAGAATGATCCAATACCTGTCCATTCAGATATCTGGAAAATTCTACTACCCCTACAACTATAAAACTCAAGTTTTGAAGTTGTGTGGTTATAACTGATGATATGATTATGAACAGTAATAAATTGTGTTCGAAACTTTGTAATCCAGTAAGTAGTAATACTGTTCCGCTGACTGTGTGATATATCTAATAAACAAACTTATATGGACTTACTTACTACCACCACAGTGCCCATGTTTTTGATGTTTAGTCAATTCCGTGATTAGTGGCGTCATACATTTATAATACTTGCTTTTTTGACTACCATATATGGGTATCAAGTAGGTTGCATATATCTATATATATTGTGGTGATCTGAATAATTTCGGTTTACAAAGGAAATTGTGGTCAAAGTTTCACCTCCTCGAGCTGTGTAAATTGCAGATTGCGAATTTGATTTAACGCTATTATCAGTTCACCCAAGTAAGCTAGTTAGAACTCGAGTGATTTCAACTGTTTTGGATCCCTGAGCTAAGTTAAATGTGATAAGCTCAACTACAAAAGGAGCGAAACGGCCATTCGTTGTTTAGGTGTCACTTCCATCTGATTGGCTAATAAGCATTACTGTCTGATGTGAGTGGTATCCAACTACTCATAAAAATCAATGAGTAGTATATATCGTTGATATTGCTTTTAGTCTAAACAAGAAGAAAGCTAAATCAATCGTTAGATTTAGTTTATCTGATTTTCAGCTCAGCTGAGCTTACTTGAATTGAACTCCCGACATTTCTAGGTTTGGTTTGACACTCCTCTCCGCCCCCTCCCCGCTCATTTAACTCATTTCCAACCCAATCCAGTATCAGCTAGTATTGCTCTACGCGGAGAACTATGGCTTGGCTTGCCTGTCATATATCTTAGCCTCCTTAATCGATACAGTTTCACAATGTCATCAGTTGGCGCTTTCTTTCCTTACCTCTCAAACTCTACGCAGAAAACTCTGATTATCATTGACCTTACTATACCACCTAGACATCGGAGGCCTAAGACGTAGAGATAAAGACTAGCCTTTTCATTCATTTCAGTGCTACGCTATTTTAAAACTCATCATATGAATGCGCTTGGAGGATTTCGGCAATATGTTTGAAAATAAATTAGCACACATTCACTTATCACTGGGAATACCAACTTTGATTCCAATGTAACTGCGGGCTACTCATGTTTTTGGTCTAACTGCAGTCATTGTCTTACACAACAAGTTTTATATCTAAATTATCAGGGCAGATATTAATGCAAAAGAATCAGGTGTCGGTTTGATCACGAATCGACTTTAGTCGGCGAACCATTGAAAAACCAGGGGGAACTGGACAGTTGTTTCGTCTTCGCTTGGGACTCTTCATCGGTATGTACCCATAACCACCCTCCCACAACAGTGATCGAATTCAGGGCCTTCAGGTTATAAGACAAGCTTGTATGCTATTCAGACACTCGGACAGAAACTAATAACTCATAAATTCTAATTTCTTCCAATTCATGGTAAATAGTGTGACTGCCACTTAATGTCATTGGTCCCCTCACGCGTGTTTGTCTTGTAACATTGAAGGTTGTGGATTCAATTCCCCTGTTGGGGTCATAGGTGCGTACTACTGATGAAGATTCTCAAACAAAAACGAGATGGTTGTCCCGTTCTCCTTCCCGATCTTCAGTGGTTCTCTAGCTGAAGCCAATTCGTGATGGAAACTGAAAGTAAAAGAATTAGTTTGACGGATAAAAGTTGTAGACTACTGTCTATTTTGTCGTAACACTAGTTGCCCCTCCACCCCAACTAGGTCTTCTTCTTACTCTCTCAATTGTAATCATGTTGAAATGTATAGAAGAAGAAAAAGAACAGGTTATTCATTGACAGTGAGACTATTTGAGATAGTATTGAATTGAAAACATAAGGTTATGTCAGTCGATTGCACCTGCTCCTGACCAGCTACATCACGATGATTAAGATCGATAGGAGGATTTAGTGAACTGAAGCAAGATAGACGCGGCTATTCATTACCCTGAAATCAGTGTGGATGTGCATAGTCATTATCAAAAAGGGACAAGGGGTATCTGCAACCGCCTTGAAGGAACTCATGTCCCTTGTGAGATTCAAACCCAGGTCACCCAGTGTCGCAGTCAGAGACGTTACCACTGACCTATTCATCAGACTTGCGATTGACCTCCCGTAGGACTATATTAGATACTTCGATTGGACAGTAGTTAGTAACTAGTAGTTTAGTCCTTTACTTACTGCAGACTGAATTATGTGAAGTTTGCAATGTGACCACCATGCCAATAGGTGGCTCGCCAACACGGTGCACTTTGAAATGCAGATACGCCTTGCTGACAATTGCCAACTAGCGCGAAATCTAGGTCTAAGGCTTCTTGCCAATTACCTCTAACCAGCTAATGTCAACAATTCGCAGTGCACCACGGTGGCAAGCCACCTAGTGACATGGTGGTCGCATTACAAACTTGACTGATGGTATTCAGTCTGCACCAAACAAAGGACTAGATACATCACACTAGTTACTGACTAGTGTCCAATCAAAGCTCCTAGATGTTTCAGAGAATTGGTACACGAATCACAAAACGCAGACTTTGACTAAAAAATACCATCACTTTATGATACTGTGGATCAAATGGCTAACCAGAAAAGAACAATCAAGGAACAGGGAGTTCCGGTAGGCAGCAAGCTGAAAAATGTATTCAGAAGGAAATGAAGGTGGATCGATTGGGCAAACGATGAGAAGACCGTTGAGTAACATTACACATAAAGCTGTTGGATGGAACCCAAATGGGAATCGACGAGTTGGACGTCTCTCCGCGGGTGACACAGAGGAGATCAATATGAAGAGGAAATGAAAGCCCTTGTGGGCAATCGTAGAGTCGGTTGAAAGTGATGTGAAAGAACTGAGTTCATTGGTGATTTGCCTCTTAGACCGTATGTTTCATTCGGAGAGTGAGAAATAAGTAATGATGATAATAATGGCAATATCCGACACTTTGAACATCAATTATACTCATGCCATAGTGCATAGAAAAATGTATGTACTTGAGTAGTAGTGAGTGTAGGCTCATTTTTTAATGGACTGAATGAGTCACTACAAAACTGTTCTTTGTGACATAAGTGTGTATATTTCGTATAGTGAACCGAAAGAAAAAAAAACTACAATTGGAACAATTTGCAACTCAGAATGATTAAGTCATATCTCATGCCTCTGTGTGTGTGTGTGCGTAACTGTGTGGTTAAAATATAAACAGAAAAAATTCATCTGGTTTAAATTGATCAATTGATCAATTATTCATAAATCATCTACGAATATAAAATTCTGTTAGTTCACCTGTTTATTGATCGATTGATGATATATGAACAAACGCATACACACATTGAACACATTTAATCTATATTAAGTTGTAACAGTATCATGTGTCGTGTATCGAATTAAGTGTATGAGCGTAATGAGTTTTCGGACGGATAGTAGGACAATTAACAATATTTTCAATTTATTGGTGATAGAAACAAGAATCAAGTGTTGCTTTGCTGGGGTTTGATCATGAGTAGTTGACATCAGTTAGAGAACCATTGGAAAACCAGTACTGGGGTTACTGGACAGCTAGCTGTCTCGTCAGCTTTAGTTTCGGACTCTTTATCAGTACGCAACCACCGCCAGAGTTCGAACCCAGGACCTTCTGGTTACAAGACCATTAAGCCACTGGGACCAAATCCAATGGCCAGTCCATGAATTCCAACTTCTGCCAATTTGTGATTTGGCCCCACTACTAGCCAATGTCATCGATGGGGGGTATTTATCCTCACGTCCTACCTACTGCACCCTACTAGTTACGAGATCCCACTAGAACTCCAGGTAATTACCTATGTGAATAGGGCCAGTCACCAGTGAGCATCTCATTGATATTCAAATATTAGTTTGTAAGGATTTGATTGATTGGTTACAGGATTTCATCATGAGTTGACATCGGTTAGAGAACCATTGGAAAACCTGCAGGGAGTACTGGACAGCTGTTTCGCCCCAGTTTGGGAATTATCGGCAGTACGCACCTACTGCCAGGGGCTCGAACCCACAACCTTCTGGTTGCCAGGCGAGTTCGTAGACTGTTCAGCCACTGGGACCTAGTTAAATGGCCAGTGCATGAATTCTAATTTCTGACAATTCGCGATATATGTTGCGAAACCGCCAGCCAATGTTATGGGCGAGTAACTGATCCCTTAGCTGACTTGGTGGACTCTGCCGGTTGCAACCTTTCAACAAAACCATAGGTACCCGGAAAGTCCTGGGCTTGGACTCCTGTGAGTACGGGCTGATAAAGAGTCCCGGACTAGGACGAAACAGCTCTCCAGTACTCCCAGGTTTTTCAAATGGTTTTCTAACTGACGTTAACTTGTAATCAAACTAGAAATAAGTATATCACATCCAGTAATTTAAACACTTATGAGTAAGGGACTAAATAATTGCGAAAACTGTTCATTCGAATCGCAGTATGTCTTCAGGCCTTTCCCTAAAGTTTCACTTTCAATTATCAATATCATACTATGAGTCCCAGTAGTTGGTTTCCTTAACAAAATATAACAGTTTTAATTCGGTGTATACATCATTTTAACCTAACAATAGTTGAAAGGTCCGTTGTAAACTAGAAAGTACTGAGGAGTTGTTTCGTCCAAGTTTGAAACTTTTCAACGGTGGGCATATTTATGATCTCATGACATTTAGGCTATGAAATGGGTAGTATCTATGTACAGGTGATTCATTCATCTATTTTATGGATTAGAAAAAGTTGGATATCATGTCTCGTAAGATCTTGCTTGATTGGATGGCTGGGTGTTTCCTTCAAAACCTTACCACCACTGTTTGTTCGCTCAATCGTCTTCAGTATCACAGATGTTGTCACTATGATAGGGAGTGTCAAAAACAAGGATAAAGCAGTTGTCCAGAGCTGCTCAGTTTTCAATCGGTGTCGGTTTGTGTTGAAATCTACGCTGAAACTAATCGATCATGTGACCAAATAAGAGTGGAAAATGTGGACGTCCTAACTTCAGCAAAAGTCTTTGTAACAGACGAGCTCGTAGACCATTAAAGCCACTAGGACCCGACCCAATGACCAGTCCATGATATCCAGCTCCTGCCAATTCACGACATAGCGCGACTGGCACTAGCCAGTGTCATCGCTGGCGAGTATTTGTCCTCACACTCGACCTGCTCTACCCCACTGGTCACGACTTCCCACTAGAACCCCAGGTAACTACCCAGATGAATAGGGCCAGTCGCCAGTATTCTTTTACAGGGATCTGGTCGGTCACAGGATTTTCTCATGAGCTGACATCGAGATGGCCTTGGTCCTGCGTTCGAAACGCGATGGGTGCGTACCGATGAAGACTCCCAAACCAGGACGAAGCAGTCATCCAGTACTCCCTGAAGGTTTTCCAATGGTTCTTTAACCGATGTCAGCTCATTATGATATCCTGTAAGTAGTCAAGTCAAATCCTTGCAAACCAACACTTGTGAATGATTCTTTAATTATTATGGTCACATAAATGTAGAACCGGAAGAGAAATATTCTGTGTTCACTGATCTTCGAAACATTATTTTGTTTTTTCCATAAATCGACTATGGAAAATCGCATTATTAACCAGTAGTATCTATGTTTTTGTTATAATAACATATGTATATTTAATAATTTATCTCTTGTTGGTTTTTTATGTAAAGAGAAACTCCTCAAGCTGATCAAGGTATATCTTCATCGGGTCAACAGATGAATGGAAATACTGGTGTCAGCAATGGTGTTAGCAATACTAATACTAATAATAATAATAACAACGATAATATCAAACAGAATTCACACAGTCAAGTTGTTGTCGGTAATGGTTGGCTAAACTTTACAGCTACACGTTCCTCGACAATGCGAATGGTATTTTTTTGTCAAGCTGAAAATTATCTTGGTCAAGCCAGGTCACGTAAAATGGTTGTTCATCAAGGTAAGGCAAGGAAAAACAGAAAGAGTGGGGTGGCGAGTTTGTGGTGAAATGAAGAAAAGGCAGGGTGTCTTTTGTTTTCTGCTTCCATTATCATTGCCTTTTTAAACGGTATCTCATACTAAGTCTTAGAGTTTCGTCGTCAACGGGAGCTTTGTATTGTCTGACTGAACTGTCGTCTTTATCGACAGTTCTCAGGAAGTAAAGAGTAAACAAAGATTCAAAAGAGAGATGATAAACACAAGTATGGGGAGGGGGGAAAGAATAGTAATATGGAAGGACAATATAATTTTATTGGATATTATAAATCACAAAGAGCGAATGCATCTGCGCCATCCATTGACAACTATTTTGAACCATATCGTACCGATTTTCTCCAACCTTCATTAGTTTTTACCATCCCGACGACCCCAACCAGCCAGTCAGGAAGTCTACACCTCCCTACATGGCGGCTGGCTGGCTGGCTTAAACTACCTGTTGTGGATTTCATTGACTGATGTAGCCATCTTTTTGGTTTAACCACCACTAGCCAACTCTTTTCCAATCTGATCCATCCTATGTCAGCTAAACTATTATTTATTTATTTAAACGCAGAAAAAACTTGGTACAAAATGGCACCAAGAAAGATGCGCCACACAATAATAATAAAACAACATAGATTAAAAGTAAAAATATATGTAGAAAACGGATAAAGAACTTCATCTGGAAGGAAAACAGTCATGTTTAACAAGTTCAAACAGTATTCGTTAACTATCAACAGGAAGGGAAGAAAGAAGGAAATTGCAACGCGTTCGCCATTGATTACGATTCTTGGCCATATCCTATAACGTTTCGAGCTATCTCGCGGACCCCAACCAGGGAGTCGTGACGCACCAACCGATGCTAATCTAGCACAAAAATCCTTCATCCCACGACGCCCCGTCATGGACTGACCACCCCTCCGCCTTTTCCATCCCGTCCCAGGGCTAGCAAAAAGAGACCTGTACGGAAGACTATGGGATGACATTCGCAGCACATGTCCAAGCCACCGGAGCTGGTGTTTCCAGATGACAACACTCAATGAATGGTGATCTCCACTGTGTTCAAACACACACCGCCGAACCTCAGAATTACTCACGCGATGATGCCATCGAACGCAAGCAATCCTGCGGAGACAACGATGGTCGAACACGCAGAGTCGCCTCGCGTCCTCAGCCCACCCGGAGAGGCCAGGTTTCGTTGGCGTAGAGCAAAACAGCTTTCACCAAAGCACTGCATACCCGACCTTTCACAGCCAGACTAACGTCGCGACGGTGCCAGAGGTGGTGGCTCGAGTTGACGTATGCCACCCTAGCTTTCATGATACGGTTGGTAATCTCGTCCATCACACCTCTGCCAGCACCCACACAACTACTCATATACACGAACTTATCGAAAACTTCAGGTGGTTCACCTGGAAGAGTGAGTGCAGGTACAAGCTCCTGTCAATCTTGTAACAGTACTTTGCACTTAGACGGTGCAAAGCACATACCATACTTACATACTTATAGGATGAGAGTGACATGGAGGAGATCGTGCGAGTTGGAGGAGGAGATGATAAACTATGTGCAATCATGGGGCAGCTGAAGACGACTGTAGAGAATAGAACAAAGTGGAAATGTGTTGTTGATGCTTTATGTTTCATCTACAATCCAAGGGAATAATAATAATGATAATGATAATTCATATGCTAACTTCTCATAACACGCAACTGTCATATAGGTTGTCCTGTATATCACGCTATGTGAATCTAACATTTTCACATAGCTTTTAAATATTTGTTTTTGTTCACAAAGTGGTGGTGGTGATGGTGGCGAGGTGTATGTGTGTTTGTGGGGGGAGGAGGGGAATCTACACACCTTTATTGTTTTAACACATTGACTGACAGTTCAAGATAATGAGTCTTCTCTTAGAAAAATAATTTTTCTTTTGGAAGAATTATAAAACTGACCATTGACAGATGGTACTCTACTTGGAAAATAGTCAACATCTGTATGTGTGAGTTTGAATGTAGAGGGGGTGTGTGTGGAGATAGAGAGAGAATGTGGGAAGATAGAGAGATAACATTGTTAGTAATGGGAACAAGATTGACGGCGTTATTGGCTAATACTATTAGCTATTTTGTATGAGAGATATTTTGTTCTTCGTGTCTCTTTCTTTATTTCTCTTCATTCCAAGTTGAACATACAAAGCTTGAAGTTGAGAAGTTTCTGCAGTGGGGTAGTGTTTCTAGTCCCGGAATTATCACAGGCAAATAAACTAAACTGGAAGTCAAATCCGGACCTTTGGTGTGTGTGGGGCTGGTGAGCATCAATCGACACACGGTCCTCCCCAGAATTGTAACCCTCCTGATACATTTCCTCTACACCGATTTTCCTATCTATTACATATGGATTATTATTGATTTTTCCTAAGAGGTTACTCCAGTTTTTTTTCATTCCTTTTTGTTCTACTTAGACTCTGGAAATTTCATAGCAATGGAGTTGTTTTTACTGGTTGGGGTTGTTGCTAGGTTCACACCCAACTTTCCCTTTTTTCCTGGGCTTACTACCGACAAAGAGAGGTTAAGCGGAGTGTGTTGGCCGGGGATCGAACCCCGGACTATGTGTGTGGTTGACGAAAATCTTACACCTAATTAGTACACACACACGCGCACCACATTAGCCTTTTTTACTTTAATACTTTATCCGGTCATTATTGATTGAATTATTGTTTTTCTTGTTGTTCTCTTCCAAAAACAAAACAGTTCCTATGCCAGATGAAAATTTGAAGATTATCTATAACACTTTCCCGATTAAACCAAGGCAAAAAGCTGTGGTCAGTTGTCAACCTGAACAGGGTATATTTAATCGTTTCTTGAAAGTGAAATACTGGGAAGTGTATTTAAATGGTACACTGACATCAACAATTGCTCAGTCGTGTAAGTTGGTTGTTTCAGTTTTTTTCTTACCTCAATCTCTGTAGTGTCTCATCTAACTCTAATTTTTTTTATTGCTATATGCTGGCGGATAGATTGCCCACACATGTATATATATATATAATAGGTCGATAATACAGATTAAATCTCAACAGACAGCGGAACTGACGAGGATATCAAAGCAAGAATCGGGAAAGCAAGACAAGCTTTCGCTACTCTCAAGTCTGTGTGAAGGTCAACAGCACTCAGCATGAAAAATAAGATCCGGATTTTCAACTCCAATGTGAAGTCAGTGCTACTATACGGATCAGAGACTTGCACTGCGCGTCATAAAGAGCATCTCAAACAAACTACAAACCTTCATCAACAGTTGTCTTCGCTCAATACTCAAGATCAGATGACTGGCCAGAAAAGATCAGCAACAGGGATCTCTGGCGATGAGCGAACCAACCAGAAACCGATTGTGAAACAAATATGCAGGAAGAAATGGAGGTGGATTGGTGGCCATACTCTGAGAAAACAAACCATCAAGTGACATCACTAGACAAGCCATCGCTCGAGTGGAACCTGGCCGAATAGGAAGCGGCGAGTTGGTCGTCAGTGCGAGGGTGACTTGGAGGAGGTCATTTGAAGAGGAGATGAAAACGTGTGGGCAGATTTGGAGCGAGGTAAAGACTCTAGTAGAGAACCGAACTCAATGGAGACGCACGGCTAAAGCCCTATGTTCCTCTAGGAATTAAAGGAAATAATAACATAATATAAATCTCAACAGTGTATGTAATCAACAGAGTACACTGGGTGATCTTGCTTGTGTGTAGTCATTCTTACTCTGTTTAATCCTGAATGTTAATCATCGTATTGAATTCATTTTTACAGGATGTAAGTCACGTCTGTACGTCGGTGGTGGTACAGCGGTAGAATGCCTGCCAAACCAACCACGCATGTGGTCTGGGGTTCGATCCCCGGCCACCGACTCACTGCTTTACCTCATTAAAGAGGGAAGGTTGGGCATGAGGCTGGTTAGCAAACCCATTCCGTAAAAATCAACACCACGGCTACCGAAACTTCAAGCCTCTAGCTTGGAGCCCCCCTCCTATGTTTCACTGGGTACGTAAAGGAATAGAAAAATGAAGTCACGTCTTGATGAATAATAAAAAATAAATACCTCATTGGTGGCGATATGTCTCTCTCTAACTGCAACACACACAGAATAACATGATTTCAGATCATTGAGGTGATGAACTAAAGGGGTGTTAGAAGTCACCTTCTAACCAACCATTGGCGGTGCTGATTATAAACTGTAATTTCAAAGTGTTTATTCAAAATATAATCGATCCCTTTGGCGGATTAGTCAGATAATTTTTCAAATTCAGTCATGAAATGAATTTAGTTGGAGAGTCATTGAAAACCAGGGACCATTGGACATGTGTTTCATCCCAATTTGGGGCTCTTCATCAGTACGTACCCATGACCCAAGACTAGGGATCCTACCCAGAAACCCTGAGGTTACAAGGTGAGCTGCATTGATCATCGAGCCATTTGGACAGATTCCCAATAGCTCATGTATTGTAACTTCTCCTGAATACATAACGCAACCGTCAGTCAATCTCATCGGCGAGTATTTGTTCTCATATGCCAACCTGGTGAACCTTGTGGATCCCGACTTCTCACTAGAAATAGATGCAATTTCATCCTGTGGAGTCACTAGTGGAATTACTAGTGAGCACTGGATTAATTTTCATGTGTTACTTAACAGTGATCGTTTTGCTGATTTAAAGTTGGATTTTTGAACTAACTTCTGTTAAAGAACCACGTGAAACATATTGGGAATACTGGATGTTTTCTAAATTCCCTGCAAATAAACGCTTAGAAGTTCATTTTTCTTGTAAATAACAAAATTATTGGTTGGAAACCCCATTCAGAGGTAGGTGTATAACCTCATTAATACCTAACTAACAAATGTGTGTTGAGCGAGTTCGGGTATATGCGTCAGAAACTTAGGGCGTCACAATAAACAGTCACCTGCAGACTTTTATCAGTAGCTTCATTCACTGACTCCATAATGAAGATTAGATGTCTGACTGGAAAGAGCCAGCAACAAGAAACTCTAAGGAAGAACCAATCAACAGCCTACTCGTCAATAAATATATTGAACATATTCTTAAATGGCTCCGGAAGCAAATAGTAGAATCCCCAGAACCCATTAATGGTGAGAACAGACGACGACCTAGCTCCTCTGATTGTGAAACATATTATAGAGGAGACAGGACATAAAATTGATGTTTACACATCTTTTAAATCTATCTTTAAAAAGTGTTTGAGGCAGGGAGGGCTTATCCTAAAGTTTGTGGAATTCCTAGCTGGAAATTAGGAATTTTGAACCACCTTTATGCGTTCATCAGAAACAATTCGTCGTCATCATAATAAACCTACCTTCCTTGGTAAACTTTGTTTTGATACCAGTCAGGGTAGATGTACTATAACCTCTGTTATTTGGCTTAGTGATCTTCATTGTTATTTTGACCTTCAGTATGGCAGCCTTTTAACTTGACCTAAGTAGTCTATTTTCTCACCTCTTAACTCTTTATTAATTTCACATATATATTCCTGTGACACGTCCATGGAGTGTGATCAGATTGTCCAAAATGTGTTGCGCAAATATGCACATTACACGATTCAAACAAATTATGTCTTCTTATTGCTTTGTCTAACTAAACTCATAAAGGGAACTAATGGTTCTAAATATGTTGAAAAAAGTAGAGACAGATCAGAAATACACACGCTGAGGAGACTGTTGGTTGGTGACATCGCACACCAGACCCTCGAATGGGAAGGTGATTGGGTAATGGCGAGTTGGGCGTCGCCTCGAGGGTGGCATGAAGGAGATCTTATGAGGAGGAGGGGGAGGAGGAGATGAGAGCTTATGTGTAAGGGTGACATAAAGATGTACTTTTGAAGCTCTATATTCCACCTGGAACCCAAACGAATAATCATAATAATAAAATAGCTGTGAGTGCGTGTGTGTATGCGTGGCTCTGTGTCAAATCTGTGACTAAACTACATGACTAATGATGTGTGTTCAATCTCTAAATCAAGTGACTCATTGTGAATTTTAATAAGCACACGTTGTTTTTTTTTTACTAAAAAAGGAAATCTGTTTATATGAACACAAGTAGAGTGAAGTGAATTGAGTGAGCATATATTGAACCACACTACAATACAATACAATACAATACAATACAATACAATACAATACAGTACAGTACAATGCAGTGCAGTGGGTGGTAGTCATAAGCTGTACACTGATTGACTGTCATTGACTATTATAGAGCGGAGGTGGCGGGGGTGGGGGGTAGTCAGTATCATCTTCGATGTTTAGAGACATCTTAAGTGCCATTATCCATTCTCAAATTCGTCGTCCTTTTTACTGTTGATAGGGCACAGTGATTTCTAGCGTAATTTATCTATTTATTAACTTACTAGTTAAGGCTTCAGTGTCAAATTTTAATAAATCAGTTTGTGTGTGTGTGTGTGAATGCATACATATTATTATTATTATTTCCTTTAATTCCTAGAGGAACATAGGGCTTCAGCCGTGCGTCTCCATTGCGTTCGGTTCTCTGCTAGAGTCTTCACTTGGCTCCAAGTCTGCCCACACGTTTTCATCTCCTCTTCACATGACCGCCTCCAAGTCACCCTTGCACTGACGACCAACTCGCCGCTTCCCTTTCGGGTTCCACTCGAGCGATGGCTTGTCTAGTGATGTCACTTGATGGTTTGTTTTCTCAGAGTATGGCTAATCCATCTACATTTCGCATACATATATATTAATGTTATTAGATGATTGGAGGCAATCGGCACGAAGCCTTCAGTAACTCAGATTTCGTGTTTGTTGCAACTTACCAGGGACTCGAACCTGTGTGGCCCAGTGCCGCCTGCAGTTAGAAACATTATCCCAGAGGTATTCGGGCTTGCGATCGACCTCCTGTAAGAATATATTGGATACTTTGATTGAAGACTAGACAGCAACTAGTGTAATGTCTCTAGTGCTTTGTTTAGTGCAGACTGAATTCTCTAATGCTCACTAGCGACTGGCAGCCCTATTCAGGTAGGTAGTTTACCTGGGGTTCTAGTGAGAAGTCGTGACCAGTAGGGTACAGCAGGTTGAAGGTGAGGACAGTTACTCATCGAAAAAAAGACATTGCGAATTGGTCGCGCTATGTGTTATGAATTGGCTAGCCACTGGATCGGGTCCCAGTGGGTTAATGGTCTACGAGCTCGCTAGCCTTGTAACTAGAAGATCCTGGGTTCGAACTCTGATGAGGAGTCTCAAACTAGACTGACGAAACAGCTGTCTGGCAGTACTCCATGCAGGTTTCCTAATGGTTCTCTAACTGATGTCAGCTCATAATGAAATCCTGTAACCAATCAAACAAAAATCTCTACAAACCAATACGTGAATACTATCAGTCAAGTTTGCAGTGTGACCACCACGTGTCGCAGACTGGTAAGTGCCAGCAAGCACAAAACGCAGGTTCAAGGCTTTTTGCCGGTAGCCTCCAACCATCTAGTAACAACAGTTCAGAGCTCATCGCGATGGCGAGCCACCCAGTGGCATGGTGGCCACATAGCAAACTTGACTGATATATATATTCCCATATTGAGTCATAAGAAAAAAGGCACAAACAGCGAAGAAAATTTTCTTTTCGACGATTCATTTTCATGAGCTGTACAATCGTAATTATAATTAACAAAGAAATCTTTAGACCAATCAGATACTGGTAAATTTTGTCCTTGGAAAATTGTATTACATAATGTAAGGTGTAAGAAGGGATGACTAATTGTAAGTTAGAAAGGAGACAGAAGTTGGCATGGCGTAATAAGTGTGAGATAGTGAATAATCAATAATCTCGTGTAAAATGGACAGGAACTAGTGGAAAGGCTATAAAGTGTTTTTTGTATAAAATATGTATGAAAAACAATGTTATTAATAAACAGTAATA